ACAAATGTTTTGAGAATGATGAGGGCAATGAATGTACAAATGTGCTTTACACAATTGATGTATGTATGGATTGTGATAAGAGTTGTATTAGCCCCTAATAAAATGATTAACAACAAAAAAGCACAAAAATAATTAAAGAATGATAAAATTATCATAGTAGACAAGTATAATAATCTGAAAGTTTAAAGAAGGATTTCACATTATGTAAACTACACATGTATATATACAAATTACTGAACACAATTGCCTAAGTGTCTACTCTATAGAACCTGGAAAAATAAACAAACATACAAACCTGGAAGTATATAAAATAATGTAATTTTCTGCCTTTAAGAATGACATCCTCTATAAGTAGCTTTTGCCTCCTATTTCTTACACCTTCCTCCTATCCCACTATCATGCTCACCCTCCATTTGGCTCTCAGTAATTCCTCTCGGATACATTGCACTTTATTAAACCCCGCCAGGCATTATACACCTTCCTCACTATCATTTTTAGGTCTCTTGTTGTTCTCTTATCCCCAAGTTTGTTGGCTCCCACTCCCCCTGCCGATCCCCTCCTCTCCCATGTCCCCCCCAGAACCGCTGATCCCGTTGTTTTCTCCTCAGAATTGTTCATCCTGTCTATCTTATATAGATATAAGCCAAAGAAAAACAAATCAAGAAAAGAACCAATAGGTGGTTCCAGGTCTGTGTGCTGACCCTTGTGTGTGTCTTCTAATCGAGTCTGATAAGGTGTCAAGTCCTGTCCCCAAAGTCAGAAGTCTATTTTCAGGATCCCTTGGGGACTTGGTTACTTTGCTCCTCTTGCTGTCCTGTTACACTCCCTTTGCCTTTCACACCACTGTGCATGGGGCAGACCGGCACACTTTCCACACAGTGTTTCCAGTGCTGTCTCTCGTAGCGCTATGGGTTAATGAGGGAGTTTGTGGTGGGGCTGGTCCTATGGTCCTCTCTGTGTATTGGCTGCCCCAAGCAGAGATGTCATCCTTGGGGCTTGGTGGGCCACGATGAGGTTCTCCCTCTTTCTCTCTCTCTCTCTCCCATGTGGTCTGGACAGCTATTTATAGAGGTATAGCTACTGCATATATATATGTAAATATACAAATTTATAATGAAAGGGATAGAGAACAATGTATATATATTTATATGATAAGTATTAAGATAGTAGACGGACTTTGGACCTCTACTCAAGGCATCCCTTCACACAAGAACAGTTTGTTCCAATAACCTGACACTCTTTGATACTCACCTGCCCAACAGGATTACTGAAGATAAAATGGGTGGATAAGCAAATGTGGTGAAGAGAGTGGATAGTGCCTGGCTATCAAAAGATTTAGCATCTGAGGTCTTAAAGACTTGAAGTTAGTTAAACAAGCAGCATCCAGCAGGGAAGCAAATAAGCCAACATGGAGGAAGGTCATCAGCCTGTGTGATCATGCGCAGGATCAGGGATCAGGTATGAAAAGATCCAAAACAAACAACTTTATCAATGGGAACGAAGGGGTTTGGAGTAGAGACCCAAAACCCATTTGTAGACAATTTGGATATCCCCCCACAGAAGGATTATAAGTAAGGGATCACTCAACCAAGGTGCAGTACTGCACTGATGAAACACACATCATTCCTCTAGTTCTGAATGCTTCCTCTCCGCAACTACCATGACCCAGTTCTACCTTACATATCTGGCTAGACTGGAGAACACACATTAGTACAGATAAGAGCTCTCTACACATGGAATTCAGGACAGATAAACCCCTCAGGAAGAGTAGTGGGATTAGCAAAACCATGAGGATAGGGGGATGACCGCGGAGGGGAAGGGGCAAAAAAGGGTTACCCATCCCAAGGTTGAATATATAGCCCCCCAAAGGGGGTGAATAACAGAAATATTGGTGAAGGGAGACAATGGACAGCATGAGACACGAAATAATAAAAATATATTATTGATCAAGGATTCACAAGGGTGGGAGAGGGAAAGGGAAAAAAGAGGAGCTTAAACCAAGGAATCAAGCAGAAAATGTTTTGGAAATGATGATGGCAACATATGTACAAATATTAAGAAAAGGTCAACTTAAAAATGAAGTTACCCCAGAAATTGAAAACAGGTTAATTTGGTGTAACCACACCCACCAAAAACAATAACCTTGAGTCAACAGCAAAGGGTAAAGAAACAAACCTCTAGAATGGAGAATGGATGTGCTTTGTAAATGCTTACCAAACCACAATACAAAGGTTAAAAAAAAAGTTTTTTTAGAGAACAATCTAGCTGAGAATATAAGAAAAAAGCACTTATTTTAAGAATAGTTGCTCACAGAATTTTGATCTAAGAAAGTAAGCTATTGGTAATTTTTAGCAAAGTGTTCCTGCACGTACCATCATGCCAGTAAACATTCAAAACTAACTGGATCTCTCTATTTTGGATCACAAAATTATTCATTTTATTTCCTGCCAAACAAAATAAGGGGAAATGCATGCGTTACGCTTACTGATGAAATGGCTTGTTATGGCTTTAATTGTATGATTGTGGTGCAATAAATTCCCATGTGTTAACAACTTGTGGTCTATAATGTAGTCATCTATTTGCTTCCAGGAAATAGTATTACATTTTCACTGTGTTCAGCAAAAGGAGGGGAAGAGCCTGAGGGAGGAGACTGCGTGTGGTTCTGAGTGCGGCTGAGAGAGAGGAGGGTATGCTTGCATAGAAATATGTGATTCCTAATCTTGGATTATGGAGTCCTGATAGCATAATGGTTATGCCTTGGGCTGCTAACCGTAAGGATAGCAGTTGGAAACCATTAGCCGCTCCACAGGAGAAAAGTGAGGGTTTCTATCCCATACACAGTCTCGGAAACCCACAGGGGTAGTTCTTCCCTGTCCAATCGGCTTCCTATAAGTAGGAATCAAATTGATGGCAATGAGTTTGAACTCTGGCTAACATTTCACTTGCTGAGTTTCTAATCTAAAACACTCGTTTCTATTGTACAACTCGTCTTGATATGACTGAATTACTAAACTATATGGCATGTAAAGTGCCAATAAAGCTGCTAAAAAATAAATTAAATACTCATTTCTTACATAATATATGCTGGGAAAATAATGTAAATCTTTCCAAAAAGTGTCTATTAAAAGAATACTTTGGTACAAACATACTAAAGAACCATGCACCGACTTACTTTCATACTGTAATTTGCATAATTAAGGAGTGAGCACATAAGAAAAGCTGGGTTATTTAAAGAAGAATACAGTCAGGAATGGAGGAAGGCTTATTAACAACCTGCAATACGCAGATGACAAAACCTTGCTTGCTGAAAGTGAGGAGGACTTGAAGCACTTGCTGATGCAGATCAAGGACTGCAGCCTTCAGTATGTAAAGAGAACAAAAATCCTCACACCTGGACCAATAGGTAACATCATGATAAATGGAGAAAAGATTGAGATGTCAAGGATTTAATCTTGCTTTCATCTACAATCAATGATCATGGTAGCTGCAGTCAAGAGATCAAATGACTCATTGCACTAGGTAAATCCAGTACAACACCCAAAGTGCTTAAAAGCAAGGATGTTATTTTGAGGACTAAAGTGTGTTTGACACAACCATGGTCTTTTCAACCATTTCATATGCATTTCAAAGTCAGGCACTGAATAAGGAATCCATATGCATTTCAAAGTCAGGCACTGAATAAGGAATCCATATGCATTTGAAAGTTACACACTGAATAAGGAATACCAAAGAAAGAATGACACATTTGAATTATGGTGGTGTTGAAGAAGAGTACTGAAAGAAACGTGTTGGTGTTACCTGTCACCAACTGGTTCCGACCTATAGTGTAACCCTATGTACAACAGAATGAATCACTGCCGGTCTTATGCCATTCTCACAACTGTTCCAATGTTTGAGCCCGTTGTTGCAGCCACTGCGATTCATTTTGTTGAGGGCTTCTTCCTTTTTACCGCAACAATGAGCTCAAACATAAAACCAATGGTGAGGATGGCGCAGGACCAGGCAGTGTTTCATCTGCTGTACAGACGGCCACTCTAAGTTGGAACTGACTCTATGGCACCTATCAGCAACAACACTTAGGAGCCCTGATGGTAGTGGGGTAAGCACTGAGCTACTAAACACAAGATCAGTGTCAAGCCCACCAATTGCTCCAAGGGAGACAGATGAGATTGATAATCTGTTCCCCAAAAGATTTACAGTTAAGAAACGCCAAGGAGCAGTTCTATTCTGTCCTACAATGTTACTATGAGTCAGAATTGACTTGACAGCACTGGGTTTATGTCATATAACTGAAATATACACATTTTAATATGTAAGCTTTAATGTCCACTGTAGTAATATTGAGTTTATTGGTGGCTTATTCAAATAATGTGGATGAAAAATTCAAATCTTAGTAATTACTCACTTTTACAGTTTCTTCTGTGTTTAGTTTATTTCCCTTAATCAAAACAATTTGGAAAGGGTGGCTATTTTCCCAAACATGCTGTAAAAGAATAAAATACTTATTTTATTGAAAGAAACAAATATTTTAACTAGCAATGAAAATGAACTCATCAGTTTTCATATCTATTAGCAAACGGATGAAAATAGCTATAAACTAAAAACTGAGTATCATATACATGAGGGGCTTCGAAAAGTTCAAAGATAAATGGAAATAAAAGATGATGGAATTTTCCCAGGAACTTTTTGAAGTTCTTTCGTATTAAATTAATCATTATGTCCACTGGCCCTTTGTTTTTATGGTAAAACGTAAGCAGCATTCCACAAATGCTAATAGTATACCTAAAAGAATAAATACTAAAATTGGTAGAATTAAAAGTTTCGGATAAATTAAGAGTATTAAAATTAATACAGTAGTATTAAGAAATGGTCGATAATAACAGTTTCCTAAAATTAAAGAGGTACTTTAAAAATGTTAAAATAACTGCTCCAAGGAACACAAACTTAGAACTTGTTTTATTCAAATATATTATATTCCAAAAAGGGGGTGGCTTTGATATGTTTAACGTCTAGAAGAATTCAATAACACAAAGAAAGGTAAATTATACCAAAACCACTACCATGATTAAGGCTCTAGAATTTACCAGTATAAATTATACTGGTAAATTAAATTCTGCAACTAATCCTAACTTCTCCAGTGGCTCACCTCAAATTATTCATGAAGACCTTTGTTTAAAGCAGCAGTTCTCAACCTATGGGCTGCGACCCCATTGGAGGTCGAGCGACCCTTTCACAGGGGTCACCTAAGACCATTGGAAAACACATAAATATTTCACAATATATAATTATATAATGTTGTGTGATTAATCACTGTGCTTTAATTATGTTTAATTATATTCAATTTGTAACAATGAAAATACGTCCTGTATATCAGATGTTTACATTACGATTCATAACAGTAGCAAAATTACAGTTATGAAGTAGCAACAAAAATAATTTTATGGCTGGGGGGTCAGACCACAACATGAGGAACTGTATTAAAGGGTCGCGGCATTAGGAAGGTTGAGAACCACTGCCTTAAAGGCTACTCTCAAGAAGATCTATTTGAGGGCATTTTTCTTTGTCTCCAAAAGAACAACAAACATATTTTATATGTAGCTTGAGTAGATGAAATCAACAGTAGTTAGAAGGATACTTTTTAAATAAAAGCGGTGGACTCTGAAAATACTCATTGCTCTTAATAAAAGGAGAAGTGACATAAAATTTGTGTGAGGCTTAATATACATGCCTGTAGCTTCATCAAAAGTTCACCTGTGAAACTTACAGAAATAATTCGTGTTTTCTTTGGTGGCAAAGGAAGAGGAAGGTTAGATGAATTTCGATTTATAGCAGCCTCAATAGCAATCATTTCCTGTTCATACATCTTCTTGATCTTGCAGCATTCCACAAGTATAAAATGTGGCAGGGCTCTGCTCATTACACAGTTCCGGATATACTACAGTAGCAAAAAAGTACTGCTTATACTTCAAGATATAGATCGCCAATCAAACATTTAAAGCACTACAAGAATAAAATTAGTCTGAACAAGAACTCCATACTAGCTTCACTGTGATATATTATCTTCCTTAATACCTGTTTCAAGAATATAAAAAATCTAAAATTATACAACACATTAAAAAAAAACAAAACTCACTGTTACTGAATCCATGCAAATTCATAGCAGACTTCTGCAACAGAATAGAACTGCTAGAAAGGGTTTATCAGACTGTAATCTTCATGGAAGTGCACCCTGGTGGTATACTAGGTTATGCACTGGACTACCAGCCGTAAGGTCAGCAGTTCAAAATCACTGGCCACTCCATGGGAGAAAGATGAGGTTTTCTACTCCCCAAAGATTTACAGTCTTAGAAACCTACAGAGGTGGTTCTGCCCTGTTTGGTTTGAAGTTTTTGGTTAATCTTTACAGAAGCAGATTGCCACATATTTCTCAAATGGAAGCTAGTGGGTTTGAACCACCGACATTTTTGTTAGCAGCTGAGTATTTAATCACTGTTGCACCAGAGCATATTATAAGACATAAACTATCTACCATAAATTGAAGATTAGAATGCTGAAACACTGAACTAACTCTTACAGGTCTAACTGCCATCAAAAGCCCCATCTTTCACTCAGTAAACCTGGTGGTTTCAAACTGCCGATCTTGCAGTTAGCAACCCAAGGTGTAAATTAATTCACTATACACCCAGGGCTCCTTCTTACAGGCACAGCACTTCTTATATTATAGCTCTACAAGAGTTCTAACTCTATAAATCTTGATAACTTTACAAGAGAGACTATCCGCCATTTAATAGATAACTAAAGCTCAGAAAGATTAAAGCACACATCTAGTAACTGTAAAACTGAAATCCAAAGCTATTTTTGTGAGATGCCAAAGCCATGTTTTGGTCAGTAAGCTAGAGGAAGGCAAAATGTGCATGGGTGGCTACTCCGAATGTCCTTGGGTGGCAGACTCACACGTCCCCAACGATCCCTGACGTGGTCCTGGTATCTTCACAGCACAGGGTTCTAGGCAACCATTACTTCCTACCTGCGTAGCAAAAATCTATTGGCTAATGCAGTTTTATGTGCTGTTTTGTTTACATTAAGCAAGGATTACTTTCTAAAGGTATATTACACAAACACACTGTCGAATCATAGAAACCGTATACAAGGATTTGGCTGTAAATCTTAAGGAAACAACCTAATCTTTCTCCTACAGAGTGGCTGCTGGGTTTGAACTGCTAACCTGTGGTCCAGTGCTTACCTGAAAGCGCCACAAGGGCTTCTTGCACAAAATAAAAGAGGGTAGTTATTCACATTACCAGATTGCTAACAAAGTGAATCGGAAAATTCAATGCATTACTCAACAGAATAATGTCATGTAGATATAAAATGTGATTCAATATATTGTATTCCACCCAGAATTTATGGATAGTTAAACCAAATGCTTGCAAAATTCTTGCCACATATGAAAACAACAGAAAAGGGGGCACAGCAGACTACATGCATAAATTATACCAACCAAAAGGTTTTATAATTCACAATAAAAATTTACCAACATTACTTGATCTAATTAACTGATAATCACAAATAATGCTTTGTAGAATTCACAGAATGACAGTTTAATCAGAAAATTTTACATTCCATTTACCCCAGAACATCATATATCTAAATTATTGTATATATGAAGAAAAAATAAACAGTATTATAAATTGTGTTTATGAAGAATTCATAAAACTATTAGAAAAGTTATTAAAACACTATCAGAAACAATTTAAAAAACAGGATGCACTCACATATGGACACAAACATATGTAAGTATTATGCCAAAAATCTATACAACTGCAAAAAAAAAAAGAAACACATGCTAAAGTATTAACAATGGTTATACCTGTGATAGATATAATCATGGATATTATTTACATCTGTAAATTCCAAAGTGTTTCACATTTACATCCACAAACCCAAAATTTTTTTATAAACTGCAAGTTAATATACATACCTGGAACTGAATTAGTGGATGATCACCAAACACATATTCTAATCTCCCACTAATTTGCAACACATAGTCATAGGGGCTAACTTCATCTTCTTTTCCATGAATAGTCAAACGTTTTTGGATTGCCAATTCATTTATCTTTATAGGATTCATATTAGGAGATACTTGAAAGCTAAACACATCCTTAAAGGTGGGGGGCGGTGGAAAAAAAAGGATATCAAATTTTATATTTGTGCTCTGAACAACTTTTTCTTGCAAAACTTATAATTTACACGTATTATTTCTTCTGTACACTTGTACATGTGTACATCCTTTACACTATATTCTAATACATTTTCCTACTTTTCTGTAAAATTTGTTAACATTTCTGATACTTTACAGGCATTTTACACTATCGAATACCAGTAACTTCCACAAATAGATTAAAATTGATATAGGCTAGATTTACAATTATAATCTTTTTGCTTCATGTCCTATGGATGGCTGATATTGATGATGTGTCCCTGAAAATTTCCAATCTTTTTCACAGAAATTACTGTCTTGTTTTCCTATTATCAATGCCATACACAAAAAATTCCCTCCTAAAGAGTCACCTTGCTTTAACACAGTGTTAAAGCATTTGGCTGCTAATCCAAGGCCGGCTGTCCAAATCCAAAGGTTTAAACTTAGCAGAAGTTCCCTGAAAGAAAGATGAGGCCGTCTGTTGTCCTATAGACTTATAGCTTGGGAAATCATTTGGGGCAATTCTACTCTGCCCTAGAGAATCACTGTGTTGAAATTGACAATATATTTGCTTTTTCAGTTGGGTACCTTATTATACAAAACTCAAAACAACAAAAAAACTCAAAACAAACACACTGTAATTAAGTTTATTCTAATAATGATCTGATACAGGACTGAATACAACTGTTCCCTAGGCTTTCCAAGTCTATAATTTTTTTAAATCATTTTATTGGGGGCTCATACAACTCTTATCACAATCCATACACACATCAATTGAGTAAAGCACATTTGTACATTCATTACCCTCATCATTCTCAAAACATTTACTCTCCACTTAAGCCCTTGTCATCAGCTCCTCATTTTTCCCCCTCCCTCCCTGCTTTTTTTTTTTATGGGAGCAGCGAGCCTCTTCTTTCACCAATGAAGTGGCTGAGGATTTGAACCTCTGATCTTACATCGACAATCTAATGCTTAACCGACAATTTCACCAGAGCTTTTGACTTGCTATATTTCATCTCGTTTTTAGTTTAATGGTCCCTTATGCTGTGGAACTTCAGCAGCTGTTGATGACATGACCATATGAGAACATTCTACAAGTGAGCAAGAATTAATGTACACTAGAATAGTTGTCGAAGTTGTGGTTGGGTGCCATCTAATTAGCCCCAAACACATAACTACTCCACGCAGAAAAGAGTGCCCAGAATGTAAATATACAACTGTAGAAAAGACAGTTCACTTGGCCCAAATCTTTCATTACAGATAAAAGAAAATGAGATGAGGAATAATAACATTTACAATTTAAAGGCAGCTAGATCAAAGCTTAGTAAATCTTTTCCGTACAGGACCCAAAAGTAGTTATGTCAGGCTTGGGTAACAACATAGAGGTCTTTGCTGCATATTCTTTTTTTTTTTTTAAGCCCTTTAAAAAAATCTTTGAGCTTTATATATGTATGAGTTTTGTATCTGTAAAGACCACTAAAATAATGCACCTTACCAACCCATATCTAGAGTACCACACCATTGCATGAAGAAATAATGCAGTGCAATGTATATACACAGAATGTGTATTAATGTCACTTCAGATTATTATGCATAATCCTAAATTTATTTCTGCCTTTAATTCTAAAAATTCCTTTTATTAATGCTTACTAGGTGAGCCTCCTCTAAGACTGGAACTGCATTTAGGTAAAAAGCAGATATTAATTACAAAGTTACATCTTAAAATAATATAACACTACCTGACAATTTTCAAAATGAACAGCCACAATGAGCTTCCCTCCATAAAGTTTATCTTCCAAGTTTTCAAGAATGGAAGGTTCGTGCTCTGGTGGATAGGTCTGCTTCAGCCAGTCCATCCAAGATAATCCTATAAGCGACTGAATCTTTTCCTCACTGAAACTCCTCATTTTTCTTCGGAATTCATTTACTTCAGGATCCTTCAGGGCATCAAATTCATGCAGACCTAAACATTTTTTAAACATGTCATTTTGGGTAGTAAATGATAATAGCATATAAAACACTCAACTAACACAAACAACATTGTCCCCCTGCCCCAAAATGCCATGAAAGACTAAAATAATAAGCCAGGAAAAAGAATAAATCTCATATATAAAAGATAAACATAATTTCATTGCACAACTGAATTATAAGCATTCTCTATTATAAACATGATACGGAATGAATATAAACTTGAAATCTCTGAAATAAATTGTTTGATTACTAGTATTATAAAGACAAGCATTGAAATTCATAGTACACACTTAAAAAACTACAAAGGATCAATTTTTATTTAGAAACCAGGTAAATCTTGTTTAAAACATCTTTCAAAGGTTAAGAACTTCAAACACTGTTAGAAGAAACTAATTACTTAAAACTTAGTAAACTTAAATATTACTTTCAGCTGTTATTTTTAATACTACTTACAATATGTGTATTTATCAATAATCCTTAAGCATCTTATGTTTCCCTCATATATTCAATTTTAAAGTAGCCTTGGCAGTGAAGTGGTTAAGTTCTAGGCAGCTAACCACCAGAATGTCTTTCAAAAGTTTTCAGTTTAATTTAGATTTCTTTATAAGATTTCACGATCTTCCTGTGTCGAGAAAAGCCATCAAGATTATTCCTTTGAGATCCCAAAAAACATTGCTTGACACAATAGATATATGTATGGATTGTGATAAGAGTTGTGTGAGTCCCCAATAAAATTATTAAAAAAAAAAAAAAGAAATCCAAAAAAACATAACCTTCTGAGCTGACTCTGCCTTGAATTTAACTGGCCTAGCAGATCCCCTAGAAGCCATTGCTTGGATTGAAACTTTTTGGAAGGTACCCCCCCCAATGAGACCGAGACAAAGTGTATTGTTGAGAGTAGTTATTTGCCACTATCCATTGAGTGAAGAGATTCATTTAAACCTATTTTGTTTATAATAAGCCTGTGCATGAACTATAACCCTAGGAACATTTTTATTTATCCTTGTGTAAAACAACTTTTATATAAACTTACAAATGTCAATTCTAGGAAACAATTCTGAAAAATCTGTAATGATAAATAGGGGAGGTTAACATGCAGCCTGAACTGGGGGGGCTTCCTTTTCCATGTGGCCACCCCAAGGAGGGCCTAGGAGGCACCTCAATTATGAAGCCGGTTTCTTGCCTGAACAGCCCAATGCACAACCGCTTAGAGGCTGGATATAGCGAGCTTCTTTAAAATGTAAGAAAGGCTAAGCTTTGAAGGTATATAAAGTCATCATGGAAACCTGTTTTCCAAAAATGTGCCAAAGGATGGCTATGAAAACATCCTGTGTATTAGAAATGGAACCAAAAATTACATTCTACAGATAGTTAAGGATGAATGGTCAAGACCTTTACCATGCTGTTTAATAATTCAAGTATCACAGAAAACATTTTGGAAAGGAAAAACAAAGAATTGGTCAAGAAACTAGAAGCAAGTGCAAAAAATTAGTATCTTATTGGACCTTGATCTTATTTGACTTTATTTCACAGTCATTTAAAAATACATACTTGTGTGATTAATTTTATTTGCCTGACAAGAAAATCTTGTGTCTGTGTATAATGTAATGTAACTCAAGCTGTTTAAATATTTTAAATAGCTCCGTTCTCACAATCAACAGTCAAACCTGTTTAATATGTACCCACAGGATGTAATATTTATGTCACAAAATAGCTCCTTTGTGCCTGGTGAGTCCCTGTAGAGGTCCCAATTACTCCACCCTAAGTAACTAAAATGTTCTATCTGGCCCCCTCTTTAGAACTTACTCTTGGCTCTGAAAAATACTCCCTGCAATAGTCTAATCTCGTTAATACTAAATTGCAATGAAATGCCTATTATGGGTAAAAGGTTCTTTTGGGGTTTGTTTTCTAAAATTATCTTTATCTCTGAAAAGCAGATATTTCGGTAGCATCTGTTCTGTATATGGGCTAGAAGGCTCGCCCCTGGCTGCCTTCCTTGTCTTCTGCTAGTCCTGGCGGTCCCCTTAAATCCACCATAATGAACTTTGCTTACACTTTGCATAAAACATCCTGTTCATGTGCTCTTCTCTTTCCCTTTCTCCAGTTCCCTTCACCAGCCAAATGCCTCTTCAGGACTCACCCTCCGTATCAGAGCAGTTGACCGGCTGCATGCTAACTGTTTACAGACCCTTGTTTCCTTGAGTATGAGCTCCAAGCTGCTGAAGAGCGTATTACTCAATCCCAAGTATAAGCACTCAACTCAACTGTTGAATTACAACCACTATTACTTGAGTTATATTCTCGATATATTAGAAAGACCTGTAGAAACACCTAAAATACACAGATTTCTTTAATTCACGCCAGACTCACTAAATCTAAATCTCTGAAAATCTGCTTAAGAAACTGGATGAGTTTAAAAGTTTTGCTTTTGAAGGTGGAACTAGACAACTTTTGGTAAAAATTAAGAACTTAGGCTAATTAATCTTAATTAGTTGGTTTTCTACAAACTTTCTAATAAAAATACTGTTTTTATAGCAAATCTTAAAGCTTATGTTCACTTAGATTTTATGCATATTTTATAGTCAGATATAATATGAAAAGGTTTTAGGTAAAAATCATCATATTAAAAATATTGTTAAAATCTTGCAGACTGTACATGTCATTCACTTTAAGATATGTTATAGCGCCCTGTGACACCAAGGCAAAACACTAAAGGCAGGCAGCAGAGCAATGGGGGGAGCAGAGCAGGGAGCTCCTGAGGGAGTGCAAAGGACAGGCTCTGGGGCCAGAGTGTGGCACCCCATCGGACTTGACTGGAGGACACGACTAGAGGTCAAAAATCAGACCTTGATCTATTTACAGATGTTTTCTTTCTTTTAAAAATTTTTTTCTTTTTCTTTTTTTTTTAAAAATTAATTTATTCTTTTCTGGGTGATTGGTTTTCTTTTTGTTGTCATCATTGTGTTCTCTTTTGTCACTTTGTCTTGCTATGCCTTCTTTTTTTTAATGTATTTATTTTGCGATGCCTTGTTTTTTGGTGCATATGATTATCTCTGCAGGTCTATCTAGATAAGATAAGCTGGGTGAACAGTCTGGAGGGCAAAACAATGGGATTGA